AGCCTTCCTCCAGACAGTGCACTACTCGAATTTTGTCAGTGAGTGATAAACTCTGAACTTGTCAGCAGGTAGCGTATAAGAACTACCTCTAAATGACAAGCGCCGGGCTTGCAGTAAGTGATAAACTCTGAAACTGTCAGCAGGTAGCATATGAGAACTATCTCTAAACGACAGTTGCTGTCTTACAGTTCCTTCTTTCTTTGACTTATAAGCTGAGAGGTTGGTTTTTACTATTTTTGTTAAATAGTTTTTTCTGAAAAATTTGGACCAAGTGATCGTCAGAAAGAGTCTTTGATTATGGTATAAGTGGGACTTAAATTTGAAGTATTTCATTTATAGTTATGAATTTAACAACAGGTGTACGTTAATTTTGAGTGTTAGGTTGTGTTAGAGTCAGATTCATGGTTTACTAATTTCTAAATAAATTATGAAATTCAAAATTCTATAGTTCATTTAATTCCAATCCCACTTATAACTTATATTGCATATAAAAAACTTACCCATTAACTTAAACACAATCTAAAATATAAAAAAGTTTCCAAGCCATAATGGTAAGACCACAGAGCTTTACATGACTGATACTCTTACCTTCTTTGTTAACCTCAATTTCTCATTTGAAACGTATACTATTTTGAGAGTCAAATTTATATTCACACATATTATCATTACTTTTGAATGTTGGTGAAGCAGTACTACTAAATTCGATTCCAAGTTTAGCTTCAGATCTTGGTTTATAATAATCAACAGCAGTTTGTTTTTCAGTCCTCTTATATACGCACAAATTAGATTTAGCATGATAATGGACCATATGATCATAACTTGTATTATAACTGAACTGGAGTCATAATCTACAGGTTTAAATATAAAAGTAAAAGTCTTGATACGATTATCATAAATTGGTAGTGAATTTTCAGACCATTCAATTTCGTTCCAATCAAACTAATTTTAATAATGGTTATGTCAATTAAATTATTATTATTTAAAAAAAAACAAAATATATATATATACATTTATTACATATATTCACCTCAAGTATTAAACAAGATTTTAACTTGGATATAACAGTTTCGTGCATGATTAAAGGAACGAATATGGTCCACTTTTTGCAAACAGTTCGAAGAGCACAGAAAAACTCAAAACTAATTATAATTCATTGAAATAAATGTTATTTAAAGCATTTATTATTAACTTTCTAATAAACTTACTTTGTTTCAGTGACTATATAGTTAATATTTTAATTTGTAGTTCGTTAAGAAAAGATTGAATCATTTTGAAAATACGGACAGAGGTATCTACTATTCCTTAATGTGTTGGCAATTTATTTATTTGCATCGGTAACACAAACCAAAAAGGAAATCGAATTTTGTAAATAAACTAAATGCGTAAAAATAGAGGTTTAGGATTAGGATGTTAGGGTTGTGTGCTTTAGCAATAAGTTGGAGTTTCCTATATATAAAATTTCATTCCCGTTATTTTTTACTAGTCTACAATGATCGATTTAAACACTAGTTTTTGAGTTTTTCACTCTCTTTTTTTTTTTCTTCCTTCGCATATTCGGATTCTATATCAGCCACCATTTCCTTTTTAGAGGTTTGTATTACTAGCGCAAATAAGTGGATGCATAAGTTGGTTAGATTTAATTATGATCTGCCACATTTCCTAAAACAGAAAGAATTTTTGTCAAAAAAAAATTTATATTATAGTATTATGTGTACTATATGAATTGCGCGCGTGAATTATCAGATCGTTCTAATCATTCCTAAAACTTTATCATATTCTGGTTGTATTTTATAAAGATTTTTTAAGTTCGACGGCTTTTGATTTCATAATAAGATGTATGCATTGCTATGTAAACTTTATTTGAAATTATGTACATTGTCATGGGAAATTTTGTCTCCTAACAAAATTCAATCAGATCAACTCCACGTGGACTACGACATTACCTTTAACCGATCACCACATTTCAATGATTGTATGGTCTTTTTTCAGAACAATTACTTCATATTTCTATCTTTACCAACCTTACGTATTATTTCTTTCATCTATCACATTCAATGAACATTTAGCGCTTATTACCTAATTTTCACAATGTAATTACTTGAATTATTTTATTCATACTGTAGGAACTGTTGCGGGAGTTAGTGTAAAGAATGATGATCCTTGCTGGAGGAAAAGGAGGATTTTATATATACATAATGTACAGAACTCTCTATAATTAATAAATATGGAGTACTTGTATTAAAAGGGCCTTTCGGACCGATCCGTAATTAACGATTTTAAGGTAACAGATGGCAGCTATCGGGTGATCCCATGATGTGCAGCCTCGTGAAATTTTTCTTTTACATTATCTTCATTTTTTATTATGCAAATCGACTTTCATTTATAATTGAAAAATGTCAATTGTGTCAAAATTTACATGAATCTAATAAAAACTCATTTTTTCAAAAAATTGCACAATGGGCCCTTTTAATATGGGACATCCTATATGATAAAAAACATATAATATTCACTTTTCCAAAATTATAAATACATGCATATAAAATATACATTCTTTTTATATCCTAAAGTTCACGGCTTAAGGCTAAATCTGGCAATGAAATACACAAGTCTGTCCCAAGCTATGACAAGTATATAATAAAAATATATTATTGTAATTAATTTACTCAGATCATTCCCGATTATAGCTATGTTTCTATTAGATGATGCATTCTTAAGAGGGTTTGATCATGTTTACTAAAAATATGCCAAACTTTATAGTAAAAATATATGATATACTATGAAAATCAAGACGTCTAAAGTTATGTCTTGATCATGACATTCACAGACTACATGATAATATCGAAACTCAATTATCTATTTATGATTTTTAAAAATCAACTTTTATGCGTTATGCATTCTACAAATTTTTGATATTATTAACTGAGATATAGATAACACCAATAACATGTTTAGTAAACTACATGATGTGTCAAAAGAATAATAATAGTTTGCAACAGAATTTTACAGTACTAATAATAGAAAACACTGAAATAGTGAGTAAGTTCTGTAATGGAATTTTTTAGTCGCTCATGATAGAAATCACTTTAATTACAATACAAACCAACTCACATTAACCATATATTGTAATCACCAGAATAGCAAGTTCTGTAACAGAATAATTCACAGTAACTCATAATAGAAACCACAACAATTCCAAACAAACTAGTTCAGACTTAATCATTACCAAATATCGGGTAAGTTCTGTAATAGATCTTTTTATAGTAACTTGCAATTGAAATACGATAATTCAAATGCAAATTATTTTATTTTAATTACATCTTTTGGCTACCAGAATAGTGAATAAGTACTGTAATAAATTTTTTAAGTAGCTCAATTCCAATACAAACTAACTAACCTTAACCTCATATTGTAGTCAAAGAATAGCAAGTAAGTTTGTAACAAAATTATTTACAGTAACTCACAATATAAATTATAACAATTCCAATGCAAACTAACTTATCAAAATAGTAAGTTTGTAACAGAATTATTTATACTAACTTACAATAAAAATTATAACATTCCAACACAAACTAACTCAAATTTAATCGCATATTATAATCACTAGAATAGTGAGTAAGTTCTGTAACAGAATTTTGTTTGCAGTAGCACGCTATAAAATCATAAGTTTTTTTAATTAACTCAACTTATTCAGAATAGTGAATAAATTCTATAACAGAATTTTTTCAGTAGCCCATGAACAAATCAGATAATTTATAATGAATGCAAACCAACTTACCTTAACACTTATTGTGGTTATCAGAACAGCGAATAATTTCTGTAACATAATTATTTACATGAATCACAACAATCTCAATATGAACTAACTTATGGAATAGTGAATAGGTTTTGTAATAGAACTTTAAAGTAATTAATGATAGAAATTACAACAATTCTAATGCAAGCCAACATATTTTTACTACATATTATAATTTCTAGAATAGTGAGTAAGTTAGTAGTAAATTATTTGCAGTGACTTATGATTGAAATTGTAACAATTATAATACAAGTTAGCTCATCTTAGCTACATATTATAGTTACTAAAATAGTGAGTAAGTTCTATAACAAAATTATTTTACAGTAATTCACGATAGGTATCATAACAATTTCAATGCAAAACTAACTCAAACTTAACTATATATTATGTTTACTAGAATAGTGAATAAGTTCTGTAACAGAATTCCATTTATATTAATTCGTGATAAAAAACAAAATAATTCCAATGTAGACTTGTCTTAATCAAAATAGAAAGCAACTATGTAATAGAGTTCTTTTAGTAACTCATTAATAAATCATGTTAATTCAATGCAAACTAATTAAGAATTATTTGTGGTTATCGAAATAGTAAGTTTTATATCAAAATTTTTTAAATAATTTATGATGGTAATTACAACAAATCTATTGCAAGACTAACTAACACTTAATAGTGAATAACTTCTGTAATACAGTAATAAAGTTATTTATAGTACATAACTTATGATAGAACACATAACGATTCTAATACAAACTAACTTATATTATGGTTGCTGAAATAGTAATTTCTGTAAAAAAATTATTCCCAAAAAAGTATAGTAATTCTATTGTATCTAACTCAAACTTAATTGCATTGTAGTAGTGAGTAAATTATATAACAGAATTTTATTTATAATAACTCATGATAAAAACCATGTTAATTCTAATATAAATTTATTTAACTAGAATAGTTAGTTCTGTAATAGAATTTTTTATGTAATTCATAATAAAAAATTAATAATTCCAATGCAAGCTGACACAACTTTAACTAAATACAGTAGTTACCGAAATAGCATGTTCTGAATGAAATTTATAGTATCTCACAATAGAAATTATAATAATCTCAATACAAACTAATTTACCTTAATCTAGTCAGAGAATATACCATAAATGTACAGTGCTGATCACACCATTTATGGTAATATAATGCTGATCTAATGGTTCTAGAAATTTCTTTATGCCAATCCAAGAATGATTATTAACCAATCCAATCCGAACCGTAAGGTCGGTTTGGGTTAATGTCCGGTGTTACGTATGCCCGAGAAATTTTTCTTATCAATATTTTATTATTTACTTATTTGGGTATAGTCTGGGAATGATTGTGGGAGTAAATAGCTCCCAGACGGAGGGAAAGACTCCCAGTGGAAGTTTAAGACTCCAGCAATCTGCGAAGGAGAGGAAGGTTGTTAGAACGATGATTGATAGTATTTAGTATTATTTGTAATAATTTGACGAATTGATTTCAGTATGTTAATAAAGAGAAACTCTGTAGCCCGTAATTATGTGTGATAGTTTAACGATTTAAAACAATTTGGCCTTAACCATTATATGTTCACGATCGAAGCTAAATTGGCTCAAGACCCTATAAGCTCTCCCACCGATCGTAACACCGGATTAAGCCTAAGTTTGAGGTTTGGGCCCAGTTTTTTCTTTCACATTGCACTAATATATAAATTCTAAGTTGACCATGTTAAACTATTTAGCCATTAAATACTTCGGATTGGCACTGGATTCAACCCGAAGTTTCGGATTCAGTCGGTTTTGATTCAATACCGGATTAAACCGAGTTTTTTAATCCGAATCGGAACACTAGTCTCTCATACAATGCTTTCTATATTGTGTTATTTTATTCATAATTTTATCTATCATTAGCGCGATATGTGATTACAATATGTGAATAAGTTTGCATCAGAATTACTGTGATCTTAACAGTATGTAGATAAGTTAGAGTTAGTTTGCATTTGAACTAACATGATTTTA